CGACCGCTGGTGGGGGCACAACTGCCTTACTGAGATTTCAGAATCATCATCTCTGCACACAGATCTTTCACAACACCTGTTGGAGGGCAGTGTCCACATATTTGTAGATGGCTTATGTTATAAACCCAATGACAATACCACTTTGTGGTTATGCAGTCTGCTCTTTGCCTAATGCTGCACACGAAGCTCACTTGATCCCTTTCCTTTCGGATCAAGTTGCTGAGCTTGTAGCTCTGACAAGGGCGTGCTGCCTGTTTAAAGATCAAGTGGTAACTATTTATACTGATTCGCGATATGCTTTTGGTGTAGCTCACGATTTTGGTAAGATTTGGCATGCGGCTTTTAGCCTGCTGATAGTAAGCCCATTTCACATTCCACACTGGTTTCTGACCTTTTAGAGGCCTCAATGTTACCTAAATGTCTAGCTATCGTTAAGGTCAAGGGTCATGACCCAGGAGATTCTGAAATAGTTCACTGTAACTCCTTAGCTGATGAAGTGGCTAAATGGGCAGCCAAAGAGGGCACATCCTCTCCTTTTGTGCACAGCATCTTTTGTTTTGGTCATCTGAGAACTGCTCGCCTTCAGATGAGGACGGACTCATTTGTTGCCCTCAAGGTTGCATTGCACTCCCCTGCTCTGTCTTGCCATTTTCATGGTATTTCACATGTCGCATGAAGGGGGGGTGATTAATAACATCAACAAAAAATTTTGTATTCTCATTGTCACTAAAACTGCTAAATTACTACTTGATGCATGTTTAATTTGTGCTATGGCTAACTTTCAGGGTAAAACCACCAAACACAATTCATTACCTCCTCCACAAGCTCCTTTACAAGCTCTACAGATTGACTTCACACACATGCCACCTGTAAGAAATCTAAAGTACTACTACTGGTTATTGCTGATAAGTTCGCAAAATGGGTTGAAGCCTTCCCCTGTGCAAAACAGAATGCGAGCACTGTCATCAAAATCTTAGCAAAGGAAATCATACCTAGGTATGGTATCCCACAAACAATTGACAGCGATAACGGTATGCTTTTCACATCCAGAGTGACAAAGCGTTATTACAAAAGAACGGCAAAACTGGATAGATCTCCTGCCCTCAGTTCCTTGTGAGATTCGCATGACACCACATCCAAAATCACAACTATCTCCCTTTTAGATAATTAAGGTCTGGCCATTTCCAGCCCCTTGGACTAAAGGTAATCCTGGTGTTTCCTTTTCTGGTGACCTGGAGGTGATTGTTGGCAATTACACTCAAGCACTGATTGAGAAATGGAACAGTGTGCATGTAATGGTAATGTCTCTGCCTCTTTCCCTCTACCAACAGATAAGATGACTCACCTTTTTCTCCCAGGTGATGCTGTATTGGTTAAAAAAAAAACATAATCCCAGGAAAGTGGGGGAAGCAGCCTTTGGCCCTCCCACTAGAGTGGTAGCTGTCACACACACCACTGTCCTCACCAACTCGCAACCCCAGTAGGTTGAAACGGTGCCCTGTTCCAGTGACATCTAAGACAGGAGAACATCTGCAATCAAGCAGCCCTTAGGGGGCCTCATCTAACCTTTTCACATATACATATAGCAAATTTATGTATTAGCTTTGACACATGTCTAATAATCTGACAGGAACCAGAACTGCTAATGTTCCTAGACACTGGTTTGAAGAAAAACCATTGGTCATTCTAGAACTTACTCACATTTTAATCCTGATAAACTAACTCAGCCTTTGCTTAGAAAATAAGTAACTCAGCAAACATGCTTATTATACACTGTGTGCACAATTATTAGGCAAGTAGTATTTTTGAGAATAAATTTTGTTATTGTACAACTACAGTGCTCTTGGTCAATCCAAAACCTGAAACCTCAAACCTGAACATGTAAGTAGTAAAAGTGAAGTTTTGGCTTTCTTAAGAGAATATCTACATGTACACCAGTATTAGGCAACTATTAGTGTGCAGAATTATTATGCAACTAAATGACAAACAAAGATTTACCCATCTCACTTGTTTATTTTCACCTGTCAAAGTGAGAATAATAAACAAACTCAAAATTTACAAATAAACATTTCTGAAATTTCAAAAAGAAAACCTCAGTGACCAATATAGCCACCCTTCTTTTCAATAACAGTCACAAGCCTTCCATTCACAGAGTCAGTCAGTTTCTTGAACTGCTCAGAATCAACTTTTTGTGCAGCCGCAACCACAGCCTCCCAGACACTGTTCAGAGAGGTGTACTGTTTACCTTCACTATAAATTTCCTGCTTAAGAAGGGCCCAAAAGTTCTCAATAGGGTTTAAGTCAGGTGAAGAAGGGTGCCATGCCATTAGTTTTTCATCTTTAAGGCCTTTACTGGCCAGCCACGCAGTGGAGTACTTTGATGCATGTGATGGAGCATTGTCTTGCATAAAAATCAAAGTCTTCTTGAAAGATGCAGACTTTTTCCTGTACCACTGCTTGAAGAAAGTGTTTTCTAAAAATTAGCAGTAGGTCTGAGAGTTGATTTTGAGTCCATTTTCAACCCGAAAAGGTCCAATTAGTTCATCTTTTAATAATACCTGCCCATACCAGTACCCCACCTCCACCTTGCTGGTGTCTGAGTCGAAGCAGAGCTCTGTGTCCGTTACTGATCCAACCACCTGGTCCGTCAAGAGTCACTCTCATCTCATCAGTCCACAAAACCTTCGAAAAATCTGTCTTCAGATATTTCTTGGCCCATTCTTGACGTTTCAACTTATGTGTCTTGTTCAGAGGTGGTCGGGTTTCAGCTTTTCTTACCTTGGCCATGTCTCTGAGAACTGAACACCTCATACTTCTTGACACTCCAGGTAGGTTGCA